CTGTATAACACATCATGATGTCATCAGTCACTTGGACAATTCATCTACACCGGCATCACTAATATGTACTTGCATATATATTCATTTATTTACTGTACTAGGTATATGTACATTGTTATATATCACGAGTATAGTGCCTTTTTTGTTTTTCTTTTATTTATCTTTCTTTCTTCTATCTCACCCTGTCCTGTTTTGAGCTGCTGTAATGTGCAAATTTCCCCACCGTGGGATCAATAAAGTTTTATCTTATCTTATCTCTTATCTTTAATGCCATCCAGAGGAGATGAAAGGCTACAAAGTTGATCCCTAAGATGTTCAGGTCCAGAAACCATAACCTCTGTCTTATCTGAGTTTAGAAGCAGAAAGTTAAGAGTCATCCATGTTTTTATGTCTGTAAGACATGCTTGTAGTTTAAGTAACTGGTTGGATTCATCAGGTTTCATTGATAAATGTAACTGAGTTAAGTTAATTTGTTAATTAAGTTAAGTTGCCACTTGGATTTAACTAAGCAAATAGGTACGAGCCTTCTATTGGATAATTACAGGGTGATTATCTTTAAGCTGGCAAGAAGTTGGTTAACCCCAACTGGTGCAGTGAGTTGCTTCTCATTTCTTAAACAATCTTGTTGAAAGACACATCCTGTGGTCAAGGAAAAGATGTCATTCTGTTTGAGAAGGATCAAATCATTGGCATCAAGCAGAGAAAACATCTAAGAACATTGCAGAAACTACTAAAATTGGGTTAAGAACGCATTATTAAAAACTGGAAGGATAGTGGGGACCCATCGTCTTCGAGGAAGAATTGTGGCTGGAAAAAACTCCTGAATTGTGATCAGCGATCACTTAAACGTTTACTGAAATCAAATTAAAAAAACCAACAGTGGAACTCTGGGCTATGTTTAATAGTGAAAGTAAGAGCATTTCCACACGCACAATGCGAAGGGAACTCGAGGGATTTGGACTGAACAGCCTTAAGAAAACCACTAGTCAGTGAGGCTAMCTGGAAAAGATATTTCAAATGTTAACTGTTTTCATTTTGATGATTATAACTGACAACTAATGAAAATCCCAAAATCAGCCAGAAAAATAGAATATTACTTAAAGGTCAAATGAAGGCTACTTTAGTTGGTGAAATAACTGTATAATTTCATAGTATATGCTGTACAGGTCCTTCTCAAAAAATTAGCATATTGTGATAAAGTTCGTTATTTTCTGTAATGTACTGATAAACATTAAACTTTTATATATTTTAGATTCATT